GATTGACAAAACTGTCTATTCATAATTTCTTTCAAGTAAGTGGTTTTTTTAGAAAAATTATTATGTGGTATTAGGATTTCCTGTCCCAGCCAAATTTTTGCCTTGACTCATAAGCCTCTCCTACGGAGAGCGTCCCGCGGGGACACCCCGGGAGAGGCTTTGTTAAGCTAGGGCCCCACATGTCAATTTTGAATTTTTTGGTTGGGGCATGGTCAATTTATGCCGTCCGCAACTGTAGTGTGCAATGCCATAGGCCTAAATTCACTATTAAAAAAAATAATAAAAAAAATAAAACTCACTTAATGGCCAGTATTGATCGGTCATGGTGGTGTACGTGCTCCACTGATGACCGGTCGTCCGCCATTGAGTGGAGCGTCTACCCGATGACCAGTAAAAACCAGTCATGTGTTACTACGGGTGTGTCTAACTTAACTAAGTCCCCCTATTGGAGGGGGGACGCTGTCCCGCAGGGACCCTCCGCGCAATGCGACAAGTGGTTTACCACTCCGACCAGGAAGGGAAGGGATTAGTTAAGTTAGGGGTGTGTGTGTTTCTATGTATGTAGTGTGAGAATGTTTGGCAGATCAAAAAAATTGGATTTGGCGCGATTGAGCTTCCGTATTACGCACCCATTTTGGGGGTTTCTTGGGTCTTGTCGGAGTTGTTCTTAATAAAACTTAAAAAAGATGGATCACATACAATATAGTTCACCGAGGCCCCGGTGTAATGGCAAATGCCTCTACCCGTTAGACCATATGTAGATGGTATCTAAAAAGTTCAATCATGTCTGACTAGCCAACGAGACCTGGTTGCTTTCATTGAGCCCGGCGCTTCCTACAGGCTACAGTTCCTACACACTTCAAATCTTAACCAGCCCTCTCCGAGAGTATAGGCCGCTAGCGATTGTGGATTCCTTGGAAGAATCTACCCTGCTTTGAGAGAACTCATTCAGGGTATTTAACTGGCCCTGGTGGTAAATTTGTATTGAGGCCATACTGCCTGATCAACCTTTCAAAAATCACATTCATAGCAAGCGGAAGCCAAAAGACCTCCCTAAGGAATCTTTACATCTACCTGTCTGTTTTTACGATACCATTGACCCATCTAATAATTTTTACCCCTTCACTACTAGCCCTTCCCTCGACTTTCCAAGCTCGCCCAGATCGACATGGGATCAACTAAGTTCGATGTTATCATCCTCGGTAGTGGTAAGCTTCCTTTTCGCATCTTCAACCATAGGTACGAATGATTGAAAAAACTCTTCATTTTCCTTCAAAACTCAAGGCACCTCCAGCCAAGTGCCTGTGATTAGCTGCTTGGTCGCAAAGCCCCCGAGTAAAGGTTGTGAATGCTGTCTTTCTACTTTGGCCGCCGATGGCTCAGGTCGAAAAAATGTTCGTCGAAATACGAGTGCCATCGTGCGATTCCAGTCCAATCAAAACCCAGAGAGGCCATCAACGATCCTCATCGATGTCGGGAAAAGCTTCTGTGAAGCAGCAAGGGAACATTTCCCTAAGCATGGCCTTGACATAATTGACGCAGTATTCCTGACCCATCCCCAGTAAGTTCCTGCGCTTTCTCTCAATTTGCACCGTGCTATTATCATCATGGGCCTAAAATTAATAAGCCATCTTTTTGAATTTGAATCACAACAGCGCAGACGCCATCGTAAGCTCATAACCAACACACCCATTAGCTTTGTCAAGCATTTAATTTTTTTCTTCCCTCAATTTTTTCTTACGGTGTTCAATAGAATGGTTTGGATGATCTACGAGGTGAGAGGATTGGAATTTTAGCCACGGCCCTCCTGATGCAAATTAACCGCAGCGGACTGATTGGCCTTTCTTGACATAATCTCAGCTTGGACTCTAGGTGCCGTGATTCAAGCAACAATTCCAATTTATTGCAATCAAACCACATTCGATGAAGTAAGTCAACAACTTTCTTGCTGTTCCTCACTTCGCAAAAACTTATTTTTATGGTTTGCCTCAAATTTTAGGTTGCAAAGATCTTTCCGTACATGGTTAACCCTGGTGGCGGAACTGGAGGTGAGCATGTGATGCTCTGCGTAACAACAAGCAATTTAATTAATCAATTTCCTTCTTATATAGGCGGAGATGTTCCAGCGTTCCAGTGGCACATAATTGAAAGCGACATCCCCTTCGAGTTGTTGGGAGTTCAGGTTTCCCCCCTCAAGGGTACATCAGTTTGATATCCTCAACCTTGTTCGAAGCAATGTTTGCGTAGACTAACCTTCATTCTTTCGGAACCAGTCCATCATGGATGTTACTTTAACACCTCTGGTCACCCTTCGAGTCCATACGAGTGCTTGGCATTTCTTTTCGACCAGACGTTTTGCTACATGTCCGATGTTTCATCGATCCCAGAGTCAACTTGGACCGCACTTGGTTGTCCACCTAATGCTCCCACAATTAGGCGGTCGATGTCCAATCTTACTACGAAAAGTTTCGACTCTGATAATCCATCGGTCTCTACAACCTCTTCGAGATTGGGCTCGTTACATTCTTCGGCTTCCTCAGTGTCCGACTGCGAAGGCCCCCCCGCAGGATTACCCCTGCTCATTGTCGACACCATGCGCCTGAAACCTCATATCTCGCACTTTGGAATAGCGGACGCGGTTGAAACCGCAGTGAAGCTCAGGGCGCACCGAACTTACATCCTTGGATTTACCCATGGTGTCACGTGAGTCTGCTTATTCTGCAATGAAGGCCACTCAATGAGAAAATAAACGTTTCATTTTCACCATCTCATCCACAACTCTCAATTCATCTAGGCACGAGTGCTGGCAAGCTGCATGCGAGCTCATTAGTGATACCAGCAATACGGCAAACCAATCAGCTATGAATTCATCCCCTGACTTAGAAGATGCCACTGATCATGGAGATGATCCCCGAAGATTCTCACAACAGGCGCTTGCATTGTGCAAAGACCACATCCGAGAAACACCCCTTTGGATTAGGCCAGCATTTGACGGGCTTGTAATTACGACTGATGGTGTTAAAACTGAGGACAATTTCCATACTTGATTGATAGCTTTGTCAGCTTTCCCTAATCTGATTTAGCAGGAATGGATGGAAAGATTTCCTCCAATTTACATCATTCAGACTCATCTCAGAAAATTTTCTCCTTTTATGTTTTTTGATTCTTTCCCAGAGCACACGTGTAAATTTTCTTCTTATAATTGCCTGGTTGTAGCACATATTACTTTAGATGCAAATTCTTCTTCTGAAATTTCTCTGGTTGTACCACATGGCAAACAAATCTTCTTATTCTTGCCTGGTTGTAGCACATTTTTTTGAATAAAAAAAATTATCATTTCTTTTTCCTGATTATAGCGGTCTTAAGGTCGGAGGAATCCCTCCGACCTCGAGGCAGCGGTCCCAGCGCCGGGAGAAACCCCTCCCGGCGAGCCTGTGTTTGTTCGCCAGCTCGTCGGGAGGGGTTCCTCCCGGCGAGCCAGTATTCAAACCTGCTCGTCGGGAGGGGTTCCTCCCGGCGAGCCGGCATTTAAACCAGCTCGTCGGAAGTGATTTCTTCCGACGAGCTGGTGTACATACCAACTCGTCGGGAGGTACCCCTCCCGAGCTAATTAGACCAGCTCGTCGGAAGGAACCCCTCCCGACGAGCACCACATTCTACTTTGAAAGAAAATTTTAGTTGACACTGGAAAACTTGTAGGTTTTGGTTGAAACAAGAGACTCATCAACTTCTTTTTTGTGAATTGCTGATCAATGAAAACATATAAATAGGTACATTTTTTAACTAATGATTCAATCACCCCAATCACGCAATCTAAGGATGTATCAAAAAGAAAGAAGCTGCCTACTCAATCCCTTGCTACCTCCAAAATCTTTGTTTCTTTTTAATTCCTACCTAGAAATCCCACCTAGTAAATTTTTATTGCAAAAAACCCCTACTACATGCTCTCACTTTGTTAGATAATCAATCAAATCTAAAATCCAGACTTTCACTTTCCCACACTTCTGAACTGAGGTTGCATTTCCCTACAATAGAGAGCCAAAAATCAAACAAACTCAAATGAGTTTGACACATTCATTCAATCTTGGCTGATTTCTCCCCTTGAGCATAATATTCTCCATGTAAAATAATATGATGGCAACATGAGTGAGTGTTGGTGCTTTTACATATATCCAGCATATTCTCAGCTCATCAAACTAAGTGAAAAATTCCTTATGGTGATCATAATTGGAGGATTTCCAGTTTATTCTGTAGCACCTGTCAAACCAGATTTTTCACCCCTTGAATCAGATTTACCTGAAAAATACGGTTTTAGTAAGTCCAAATCTTGTTCTTTAGGGTTTGAAAATGTTGCTGGGAAGTCCCCCATTCATTATAATGTTTTAAACTCTTTCTTTCCCAGATTTGGACTTGAGAATCCCCTCAAATTTTAGACTGAAATTACACAATCCAAAGAATATAATGTTTTGTGGTGTGTATCCCAAGGGCAAGTGGTGGCTTTCACAACAAAATTGCATCATGTTAAAATACTTGAATCTGGACAAAGCAATAACCACCATGCATTTGGGATATCAGAAATAACCAAAATATGCAAGTGTTATGTGGGTTCTGAGACATAGTCTGTGTTATTTCAGTTTATTCTTTTAGTAACTCTAAATGGACACCATAAAGTCTTGCCAAAAACAAATGAATCATCACAGCAACTGCCTGGGGCTTCAACCCTTTCAGCTTGTACCTTGCTGTTCTTGATTCATCATTGTTAGTCTCTCTTGATTTATTCATTTTCAGTCCACCAGAATTGCTTTAAGTTCAAAGAGTGTTTAGCTGATATCACAAAGTTTCTTTGTTGGATTTTAGAATTGCTGCAGGTTGATTGGTGTCACTGATCCAGAATTCAAGGCTGAGCACCCAATCATTTTGACTAATTAAGAAAATGTGTACAAAAGCTTCATGAAGCTTTTCTAACTCACGGTCTCACCTTTTCATTGTGATACATATAACCTTATGCATCTGTGACCACAGAAATCAGAGACATATATTGACATATTGTTCTTTTGGAGTGCCCTAAGATGCCTTGCCCAAAGATTACAGCTTTGACAATCCCATCCCAAGAAATTGAGCGAGGAGAACTGGCTTGAGCCATTTAGCCCCATTTAGCCTCATACCCATCTGCAGCTTCAAATTACGCGAGGTAAATGTCGCATGCAATCACTTGTGTTTCTACTCTTCCTTCTGTAGTGCACTGTGCCGACCAAAGAATTCAACCTCCACCAAAAATTGGTTTATTCAACGCCCAAAACTCGCGGGTATGTGGTCATCGTACCAAGTGGTCTCTTTGGTTTGAATTGACAAGCTCAAGGGCAGGGCGCTGAAACCGAAGACTGGGATCAGTTGAGAGATGATTTCGTGCGCTGCGGTCTGGAGTGCAGATGATCAATACTACTATCCTTTTCCTTGATCTTGAAAGATTGTACTTGCATCGGAGCGCCCGCTCATCGGCTGAGATATGCCTTACTATTATGCCAAACGGATAAGGCATTGACTAATGAATGGAGAAACGCCGCAACATCGTTCGGTTGGAGAGCGTAAATTGGTTGGGCTTTGCGACTTTGAAGACGGGGAAGCTGGCTCCTCGATGCTTGGTTAGAGCCGGTTTATTGCTTCATCGTATCCTATAATACATACACACTTTTTGCAATAAGTTGGACATTGAAGTGGACTGTACTAAGAGCCGAATTACCAATAACCACCGGCGTGAACGGCGATGTACCCCGTCCCCAGGACCAAAGTAACTACACACCATAAACACTTTCGTTAGCACCAAGTATCCCGATTGCGGCATTACATACATCGCGGCAAGTAGTAAATGTAAAGCTGAAAGAAAGGCATTTGGCTCCGTAAAAAGGTTAAAAAAGGCTAATTAGACCTAATTAGACTCGAGTAGAATGCACCAAACAACATTGCCTTTGTATTTGGATTTTCCAAAGTACACGTCGCGTCCGGATTGTTCGTGTCAGGCTTGCGCACGATGGGATTGGTCAGGACCATGATAGGATCGTTACCTTGGGATTGATCGCGTCAGGCTTGGTCACGTCCATGTTGCCCCAGAGATTTGAGTTTTTTTTTTTCGCCCTCCACTCGACTTATAAATACCCGCCCTCCCAGGAGGAGTTGTTCCCCATCAGCTCCAACTTTCTCTCTCCACAGACATTTCCCCTTCCGAAAGACTACTACACAATCCTTCTGATCTCCTCCACCTCCAGATTCTTGAGATTCCTCCCCATCACTATCCGCTCATGTCTTGAACTTCAAGGTGCATAGCTTTCCGGACTCACTCTTGACTCTACATGGTCCACTCAAGCTTGATTTATCCATAGTCTTTTTGACTCTAGCTTCATGTGTCGGCTGTGCTCCTTGATCGCCATAACCGCCCCCGCTCTTCCGAAGAAATGCTTCTGCGACATCACAATCCATCTAATCGTTTACGTTCCCAAGGATTACTATCCATCTTCGACTGTTCACTTGAAGACCACGCTCTGACCATCAACATCAGCCGATTTGCCGAAATGCTTAATTTATCTTCATCAGTCACCATCGTCGGCCAGCTCCATCTCGCTTTCTACTCTATCTTTTTCAGCAATGATTTCTTCTAGGTTTCAGATAGACCTCAAGTCGCGAATCATAGATCACGGGGTAGATATCCCCTCGAACTGATTGATTTTACTTGGTTGTGTCCAAATAAGTGGGCAGCAAAGATTATCTTTTCCTTCTTCCTTATCTTCCTTTTCTGAGTGTTCACCCTTACTGATATGATGACATGTGTGAGCTGAATCTGTCTTTCTGTTTATCAAATTGATCGCATCTCTAAACCAGAACGCGCTGACTTCTTTTTTCTCAAATCTCCTTAGCACCGGTCTCAAGCTCCATGAGTGGTTAATCCTACACCAGGTGCGCGATCATATCCGCAGAGTCACCCTGAAGAGCTAGATTTGTATATTGTGGGAGGGCATATCCTCTAAGCCACTGCAAAAAGCACATCGGTCTTTCATGGGTGTAGCAGGTCTTTTGAATCATCTGTTGTGCCTCGCTTCAAGAAACAACTGCATTGGATGGACCAAGAGGTACGTAGTCGCACAGCTATCAGACAGGTGATATGGCTGACAGATTCACTGACTTCTCATTGTTTTTTTCTATCTTCTTGTCAAATATTCTTAGAATCGGTGTGCGGTCATGTCCGCCAAGTCACCCAAAGTCCTGTCATTGTCTTCCGTGGGCGGGCATATCCGCTGTACCAATTTGAAGTGTCTCCATCTTATCAAACAATTGGGCGAGCTGAGCTATGAGGTACGTAGTTGCATTTATCACATGGACCCTGCAATCGAAATAATTGCTGATTGATTATCATCCTTTCTATCTGATTATATATTCTCAAAATAAGCTTTGAGCTTGAGGATTAAACCAGCTCAAGCCAGGTGTGCGGTCATATCCGCTGAGTCACCGGGAAGACCTTTGTTCGTCTTTCATGGGCGGGTATATCCGCGGAGCCACTCCAAGACCCAATGGACCATCTCGATTTCATTAAACACACGGGTCGGCTGAGCTGTGAGGTTCGTAGTCAAAAAGTTATCAGATGGACTATACGATCGACCGACATAATAATTGATTATTCTGTTTTCTATACAGGATTTTTTGTTCTCACTATAGTTTCAAGATTGACGAGCAAACCAGCTCAAGGGTGCGCGGTCATATCCGCTGAGTCACCCTGAAGACATTCAGTTGTCTTTCATGCGCGGGCATATCCGCTGAGCCACTCCAAGATCCTGTGGACCATCTTTGGTGTCTTGATTTCATCAAACACATTTATCGGCTGAGCTATGAGGTACGTAGTCAAACAGTTATCAGATGGACTATACGATCGACCGCCATAATAATTGATTATTCTGTTTTCTATACAGGCTTTTTTGTTCTCACTATAGTTTCAAGATGGACGAGCAAACCAGCTCATGGGTGCGCGGTCATATCCGCTGAGTCTCCCTGAAGACATTCAGTTGTCTTTCATGCGCGGGCATATCCGCTGAGCCACTCCAAAAAAACCTGTACAATTTGGTGTCTCAAAGAAACACACGGGTCAGCTGAGCTATTAGGTACGTAGTTGCACAGTGATCAGATGGAGCATACGCTTGACAGATTTGCTGATTGTTCATTCTGCTTGCTATCCAGACCTTTTTTTTTCTCTTCTTAGTATGATTCCATGGTTTCAAGCTTGACGAGTAAAACGATTCAAGCCAGGTGCGCGGTCATATCCGCTAAGTCACCTCGAAGACCGGCATTGATCTTTGATGTGCGGGCATATCCGCTGGGCCCCTCTGGGTCGGCTGCACCATCAGGTAAGTAGTCACACTGTTATCAGACGGATGATCTTGTGGTTGACAATTCTCTGATGGATTCTTCTGTTTTCTGTCCGGCAATCATGTAGGCCTCACTACACTTAATCTTTTTCTCATCACCCTCCTTTTCTTCATATGCAGCCACTCAAGAGATGCTGACAGTTTGAACCCGAGGGCATGTCCTCTCATTTGACACGTTAGATAACAACGCTCACATAGCATCAAGCCGAGTGGTTGTTTTTTGCATTCAAGTTTAGGATCTGGATTCGCTTCATAAGCAGCATTACATCCGACTTTCGGCACTCCAAATCTCATATGAAGAGGCTTTGGCACAGAACAATCTTGTGCAACGACCACTTTGCAGGTTGCATACATCGCAGTCATCTACTGATCATCTCTTTCGGTACCGATATCCGGCTATAAGAGAACTTTCAATCTGTCGTTGCGTCGTGACTGATACATGTCAAATGTATCAAAGAGTCGCTCGCAGCCCGATGTACTTGATTAATACAATCGCACTGAGGAAACGCGATCACTTCATAGCGAACAAGGAGTATCTTGAAGCAAGCTATGACTTTGGAAGTTGCACCTCTCTGCAATATCTGGCGTTCAGGTCTGCGATAACTATGGTATCTTGGCTGGCCATGTCAGCCACCTCTTGAGAAAGCTAAGTAATGAAACTGATTGTTGAGTCGAAGATATCACCTTCCAAGACAATCGTTTGCTTTGGGTTTAAACTTTACTTTTGATGAAACCCGACTTCCAAGCGACTGCAGATTGCGGCTAGATGTTGCTGCGGAAACAGAGTTGGCTTGAGATGCGGACATGCATCGTTCATTCCGGCCTGATGACGTCATCCAGTAATCATCATCTGCTGCACATCACGTGTTCTCATAATCAGATTCGGCTTTTTCCTGCTTTTTCTCCTTTCGCATCTGTTGAGCTGATCTCAAAGCAAGCACTCCCTTCTTCCCCAGGTCCGCTCAATGCGGGGGATGAAGCCGGGATGGTACTTGTGATTGTTGCGGGTCTTCAGCTCTTCGCTCCGAGTCCTGCGCACCAAGACCAAGGCGGAGATCTGTATATACACAACCTCATCCGAGGTCAAGCTGACAGAAACGGTCTCTGATCTATCGCATGCGCCGACTGGCAAGACATATTTTATCTTGTCACTTTTTCGGACTTCGCTTCATACATGAATCCCCAGTGCGGCGGTTTGGGTGAAACATGGAGGTGTTGGAGGTTGCCCACGATATGTCTGGGGCCACTCCACACCCACCAGCAGGACCGCTCTCCTGGGTCGCGTTATATGGGAAAAAGGAAGTTGTGATGATGGTCCTGCCACATCCGTCTTTGTTCTCTTATTTATCAAAATCGGCTCGGCGCCGTAAAACAGCGCCTATCCTGGCAAAATTTTTCACAAGTTTTTTCGACACTCTAGCCATCATTTGGTGATGTTTGCAGCTGAAACAAGCAATTTGTAAAAATTCTTGGCTAACGCGGTTATCATTTGTCTGTCTAATCAGTCGGCTAAGCCCCACATGAGGCAGTCAGGCTAGTATTATATCCCCTTCGTCTTTTTAGCCCTCGTTCTAGCGACTGTTTATCATGAAGCAAGGGCACTTTTCAGCCATGGCCAACAAACCATCAAGCGCATCAGTTTAACTTTTACCCATATTTAATAAGTTTTTTTATCCTAGACCTTATCAGAATTAACTCATGTTGTCTTTCTGCAGATGACAGCATGTCAAGAATCGAGTCAGAATTCAGGTGAAGGATAACTTCATCGGTTCAATTCACTGCTTTGTTACCTTTTCACCTAGCGGATCTATTTCGTATCATTGCTCCGGACCTCATATTCTCTTCCGGGTGCATTGATTTGAGCTATCAGTTGGATGAAATGTGCCAACTCTGGATATATGACGAGGGCCCTGGAAGCTGCACAGACTAGTTTTCATAGCGGCAAAACGTAGAGTTAAACATCGGATCTTGTGCTCGCTGTGATCAAACCATCAGACCTCTTCGGTGTTCTTAACGAGGTCCAAGGATTCTTGTGCCAACGAGAGCTCTCCGTGCACACCCTCGGGCTCACAGCTGACCTCCCAATCTTGCCCTTTTCTTGGAAGGACTCATTATAATGGTGCATTTGAGGCTCATCTGGCGCGAGTCGTCTTGCAGAAGCATTGATACTTCATGGAGTTGCTCCCCAGCTCTATGGACCCGAGCACCGTCTTCCTGAGATTGGTTAAGAGGGCAGCATTCCAGATCGTCGGATCCCATCAGCTCATCCCAAATATATTCCTAGCCTTCATTCGAGTCTCAGGAAACAACAATCTTCACTCCCAAGTCCTTCAAACATGGCTTACCTTTTTACTCGTTTGACCCTCTCAATAGCTTTCCTTTTGGCCCAACTCTCTGTTCTCAGTATGGTAGCCCCGGAAGAATCTCCAGCCCAGACCTGTTGTCCAGGAGATTTAACCTGCTCTGGATGTTGGATGTGCCCAGAGTCTGACCTTGGGAAGTGTTGGGCTACAGCCGTGTAAGTGAGAAAACATATCAGCTTCCGGCCACCGCCGGACATGAATTTGACCTCTCTTTAAATTTCACAGGAAAGAAATCGACGAATGCGTTATAACCGATGATTTGCCAAAATCAGCCGACACCTTCTGTCGTGCCTTCGCCAAACTCGCTAAATGCTGGTCGACTGGACTTTGTTGCAGCGAATACGCCCCCACGTAAGTCTTTCCATCCACTTGCGTCGATCGCATTATAATTTGTTTCTGAAGATTGTTTCTTCTACCCAACCCTAGTCTGGCGGCTGCGACGAATCTTTGTAACTTGAAAACGTGGAGCTCAGAGCTCATCACACGAGAGGAACTCGAAAAATATATCGAGATAGCCAACGCGACTCGGGACGCGATCTGGAATAATGTACGTCTAATCATCTCGACGGCTTCAAGAGTTCTTCGAGGGCTAAACTCCTGCTTGAAATGGCCACACAGGACTCCGGGATAGATGTGCCGAAATTGACTGTTTCGGTCGAAGCAAACACCTCAAATTCTACCGAATCGAGCCCGTCGAACTCCACCGAATCGAGCCCATCGATTTCCACCGAATCGACCCAAGCGAACTCCACCGAGGTCAAGACCAATCCGGAATCCACCAATTCGACCCAGCACACGTACGAAAAGAAGTCCGTAGTGAACCCCAGTCAAGCCGATGACGATGAGCAACAAACCAATCCGCGCGAGAAAATTGATGATCGCAGACTCAGCAGCGACCGTGAAGGCAAGAAAGACTCCGAAAAAGCCAATCACCGCTCTCAATCTAATGAGAAGGCAAACGAAACCTCAAAAAATAGCCAAAATTGCGCGGTCAAGGCAAACAAGCACCGAACCAAGGTTGCTGATCAGCACCATAAGTCCCGATCGAGCAAGACCAAGAAAAGTCTCTCTAAGGTAAATCCCCAAGCTTCCTTCCTCCTCTTCGTTCAAGGTTATTCATCCAAACCATTCTCTTGTCTTCACAGCGCGTCGAAAACCCTTTCCACAAACGCCGAATGTACCACCACCAGCACCATCCTGACCTCTTCAAGCGCACCGCACCAGGTGAGGGCGGGTGCGGGCTCGACTTTCAAGGCGTGGCCTACCCTACAGAGGTCCCTCAGACCGTTGCCCAGATCTTTTCTGAGCTTTGATCAACCCAACTAGACCTCCTGGACATTCATTATTTCATTTTATTTATGGAGTTTCATAGCTCTTAGGCCTGGTTCAATACAGATTTTATGTCCTGTTTAACAGCCATCATCTGCGCCTTTCAAAAATTTCCCTTTCTTATTCCACCTTATCTTTTCTTACCAGTCGTGGCAAGATTCCACATTTATATTCAACCCCTCTTACCATGTAGAAAGAGTGTGCTATTAGATTTATTTATTGATTAACACTAGATTAGAGCTTAATTATGACTTTTTACTTCCTCTTGATTTGACTTTATGATTTACTTTGATATTGTATGCCTTGTGATTCTAGCTTGTAGCACTAAACTTGTTCAGGTTTCTGTGTTGCCTGTATATAGTCCACGGAATCCCATACCATTTAAGCTTTTATGACCAATACCAGCTAACAAAAGTGTGTGGGAGCTTGTTGATCCATCTCTCCATTCCCTTTGGCCCCCCTATTTTTGGTGATTACCATGAATGAGTGTAATTGAACCAAGCCAGAGGAAGTATGCTCACTGGCTTCACTGTCAACATTCAGACCCAAACTTAACAAGTCCCTCCTTGTGTGAGGCTTCTCCTGGAGGGACTTGAGCCCTATGTGCCATTCTTGCATGAGAGAATTCTAGGTTGGTGGTGCTCACTCAAATTAGGTGGCATGCAATCCATTCAAATGTTTTGCAAACAATAGGCCTAAATCTTGGCTTTCTCATGATCCAATTTCAAACCTCATCCCCCCATCTTCATCTTCTTTTTATTTTTCAAAAGGTTTGGATTTCTCTAAAGCTGACCAGGTCACAAAGTATCTGTCTGTACACAACCTTCTGGGGAATATACTGTGATACAATGTTATTATAGGCACAGACCTCTCTCTTTTTGAATTTCTTTCTCTCTCTCTAATCAAATCTCTCACTAGGCCAGATCAGCTACCAAAGCCGTGGTATTTTGACATTATGTATGAATTCCTTTTTCTCTAGATGAAAGGATCAAAAGTTATCTGATGACAGATAACCATTTGCTATTCTTTCTTTTCCAAGCTTTTCAAAAATAATGAGGTAAGTTACAAAGAAACACCATTTTTTTCCAAATTAAGATGGGAATCATGCACTTATTATAAGCAAAAAATAGGTCCTGTGAGAAGAGGTTGAGGATTAGGGAAGTGGTGAGGCCAATCCCAACAAAGTAGGTGGTCAAGTATCCAAATCACTCATGCAAGGATGCTTGATAGGGCATAAGTCACTCCGGAAGAAGCCCCAGGCAAGGAGGGGTATTAGTTAAGTTTGCTTTAGACTAGCAAGGGTTTGGCCTCCAGCAACATGTGTGAATATTTAGAACAATGGGAAATGCAGGTCTGGATTCTGATGTGGCCTTGAACCAGCACACAAGCCTTGCAGAATCCAGATAGACACCTTCCTGGCATTTTTGAGACAGCTCACATCCAGGGAAGCCAAATTGGGAATTACTACTGTTGGGGCAGGAAAGAACCTTCTTTAGTGATAAGCAAACACACATCTGTTATTGAACATTCATTCTGCTTGTTGAAATCCATTGGTATTCTGCCATAAACTTCTTGACATAAGTTGTAAGGATCATTATAAGGCTCTTCAAAGAGCACCTCAAGGCTTCTATATATCTCTTGATATCATGTATGTTTCCACCAGGTAATATTATAATGAATTTTCCACCAGACACGTAATACTGGCTTTGAACATCCTTGATTGGATGGGGCTGCTCAAAGTTTTGGTTTCTTCTGAATATGTTCTCAAAACAAGTTGACACAACAAGTGGTTTACGAACCATGAGACCCTTCTCAAATCCTTATATGAGTTTTGGCAAATGAATAATATGTATACAAAGTAATCAATGTGAGCAAATTAGGTTTGATCACAATTGACAGATGATTCCAATTTCCAACTTTCAACTTGAGTGATTAGAGTTTCATAAGGCCTTGCAAGTTCTTCCTCTACTGCTTTGAAAGCTATTACCAGCTCTTGTGCTCTCTGAAATCTGACCAGTCCCGCTTTGTGTTCAAGCAACCAAGAAAATAGTTCTATTTCCTGTATCCTTCCAGGCACAGCCTACAGGAGACAAAAAAAAGATTGGCTACATGGTGCGACGGTGCGTAACTTAACCTCATTCACATATATTTACATATGTGCTCCAAATCTGTAAATAAAGTAGCGTTGCGGATACTCTGAACTTGAACGTATCACCACAACGCCGCCCGTCCATCGCAGATTCCAAGCGAACAAATTGCTGCCCCAACCTCCGCACACGACACAATTCGTAAGAGTACATACAAGCTGGACTCACAGACCCAGACAACCGAGGACAACCCAAGACCGATTTCCGAGAGGACAATCCCATGCAACAGCTGACTGCGACGAAAAACGAGGCCAACCAGATATCCATCATCATCATCACCAGCTTTGATAGATAGAGAGAGAGAGAGCCGGACCTTTGTGTGACACGCTTCCCGTGAGCGAATGTACCGAGTTAATGCCGGCCAAGGAAGAAGAAGCCCGAATAAAGGAATCCGAAAGGGACTCTTCTAGCCGTAATAAGGGAGCAAGCCCAACGACGCAAGACTCTCGCAGCACCGAATTAGAGCCAGAAGAAAGAGGAGGAGGAACAGGCCGGAGAAAGAGGCAGATGAAGCTACCGGCGCCGGGGACGAATGCATTAGCGACCTCGGCCTTTGCGACCTACGTTCTGTCGACGATCATCTTCACGATCTATCTACTCCACGGCTTGCTTCCCTCGAAGACGGTGGAAGAAGTCTTGGGGCTCAGTTACTTCCCCGCCCAAGTCTGGACAACCATCCTTCCCGGATGGCTCACAATCGCCATCTGGTACCTCTTCCTCGCCTACTTCGCCCTCAATCTCTCCCGCACTCCCGCCCTCGATGGGCCCGACGGTCTGGCCGCTATCACCGACCGGGCCGCACTCGCACTCCTGACTCCCCCCTCTACCCGCACCCCTCCTCCGCCCCGTTCCTCTCCTCATCCCACTCCCCATCCGAGCGCTGATTCTTCTGATCTGCCCGTTCCTATCTTACGCGACTTACCTTGTCAAGTCGTCAACCAATTCTACTTTAATTGATCTTCTAATTTTCTTTCTTTCTTATTTTAATCGACCATATATCTCTTGATCGTGCCTCTCGAAAATCCCTATCATCATCTATGTACTCCATACAGTTAAGCACATCTCCCCTGAAACACACCCAATCAGACATCATCATTATCATGACTGGTCTCAATATCATTCGATCTCATGCCAAGCATCACTACTAGTATTAGAAATCTTCAATTCTCATCAGCAGTAGACTTGCTCCAACCCCATTTTTTTAATTGTTGTTTTTGCATTGTTTGTGTAATAATCGATCTGAGGCTAATTATCCAGTGTGGTTAATGAACCAACAAAATTTAGAGACCGATTCCCTATCAAAGTCCATTTTGAGACTATTTACAAGGAGTTATCCTTCGAAGCAAATGTCTTCCACATGTCATCTCAACTTAGATTTTCACATACAGCTCCTTGTATCTTCTAATTTGTCCAATCAATCCTTAACATTTCTCTTGCTTCAAACATAATTATAATGATCTTGAAATTTACCTTGTATGTCGAAGAGAGTTATCTCCGCTGCCGTTGTCTTTCAACTGGAGTGGTTACTCATTGTTTCTTTGCATGACAACCGAAGTGCAATCAGATGCAAAATCTCAAGTGCCCGTGCATATGACCACAAAATGTAAGGCATGAAACAGTAGAGTTGACATCCGCCATTACTCCCAGTTATTGGCTGGTTCGTTCACACCCAAGCAAATCGGCTGGCCGCTTGTGAGGAAAATCTCAATGGCAGACCATAAGAACCAGAAATATTTCAAGCCCCGTCCTGGTCACGATAACTCGAGAACAGAAGCAAGTACATATCGATGGTTCGTATGAAGGCCTAAGAGTAAATTGCTTAAGGTTTACTTGAAAGTGCTCGAAATCTTGAATTTACAAGCATAAACATGGATACAGGAGGGAAGCGACAAGTGGAAAGCGAATAACAGGTGTTTTTTTGAATTGTTTGGAAGGGACTCGGGCAGAAAGGAGGAGTGTTTTAAACTTGGACTTTCTTCTTCGCGTCTTGGGCCATATCTTTGGCGGACTCCTTAGTCTTGTTGGCCTCGTTCTTAGCATCGGCAGCGACCTATGTAAGAACACGGGGTAGGCAAGGGAAGAAAAAGTGAGTGACCGCGATGGAAGAATGGTAGATACAAGTAATGAAAAATGGGGCTCACGTTACGCGCTTGGCTGCTGGCCGAACTGGTCGCCTGCTTCACCTTGTTGGACGCAGCCTCGAGGTTCTCCATCCCTTTGGACGCCAACTCGCTGGCCTTCTTGTTAACCTACGCAACCATCAAACACCAAAAACAAGTCAGAACACAGCCAATCGATCGACGATTTAGGATAATGTCTCCATCTAGGAGAAAGAAGAAAAACTGAACTGTTTGGGCGGCATCTTGGACCTTTCCGACTATGTCGTTCGACTTGGGAGTCGTGGAGAAGGAAGAGACAAAGATCCTTTGCGGGTAGTTGGATCGAAGAACAGGGGATTGGAGGGCACGCTTGGAGATCATCAAGGAGATAGACATGGTGTGACGAGTTCTATAAGGTTGTTGTTGTTGTTGTTTCTCTTGAAAAACGGTTTTCGGGGAGAGATAACTTTCTTGATGGATTGGCTTTTGGTTTTTGGGCTCGCAAATGTTAAAGCACAAGGGGGAACAAGTGTTGGGGGAAGTTTATAGTAAGACTGCAGGTTGTCCTGGATCAAGAAGATGAGCACGGGCAGGACAGCACAGCTACAAACATCGCCGGAACGGTCAATCAGCAACCCCCATGACGTCACTGACCTTTGACCGGTAATGGAATGATCACTGAGTTATTGGTGTCACTGTCAAGGCAGGGGCTTAATAATCAGTGCTTGATGGATTTCAGCCGCATGACATCACTCGATCATCCGGAATTGTGATTGAAGCGTTGAAAGTTTGGTGTTTGTTAATTAAGCTCATCAGCCATTCGTAAAGCTGGTCAAGTCCAGACCCAACCGGCGAGCCGCGGTCAAGAAGAGGAAGGAAGAGAGCTGATTCGAAAAAAAGAAAAGGATCTTGTCCTTATGGCGGAACACAGTCGATATTGCCTCCCTGGATCCCCGGGGTTGAAGGGTGTTGGCATTATGGCCTGAAAAGGAAATCGAGAGATGTGGGGCCGGGGTTGGTTTTAAGCCTATGTATGTAGCAGGACAGGGACTTCCTATCCCCATACAACTTCTGAACTTGTAACTCACACAAAAATCACAACTGGCATGCTTAAGCTAATCCGGGGAAAGAGCCCGCCGGGCGTGATCGACCGGGTTTGGATCCAAAGGCCCATTAGTTGGGCTTTTTTTGAATCTTAACGGACCGTCGACATGATTAACTAGGCCCATAGTAAACAAACATACAAAATCATCTTCCCTACAGACTCGCGGAAGGTCACGACAACTCAAGTCCGCTTACGCACATATAAATTTGTATCGGGCAGCTCATGTGGGACGTTTTTCTTGAAAAAAAAATATATCTCTTTCTCCGGATAATCAAGAGATCTCTTTCTTTAAAATCTGATTTGATGATAAACAAACACATTTTTTGGTTTTTGTCAAACGTTTAGTGTGTTTACTTTCTATCTTGCAATCCGATTCAAAGCTTCAGTTGAACGAAAAAAAAAAAAAGAAAAAACTTCAAATTGATTATACAGATATATAATGAGCCAAACAAAAAGAAAGAAAGAAGAGAAGAAGGCAGAGACAAATTCACATCCAAAAAACAAATCATTTAGAAATCTTCTTAAGAGCTTTATCGAATGCGCCTTTCCTCTTAAACTTTTGATTATTGTTATTACGATTGGAGCCAAACTGATGATCAGAGTTTTTATTTTTATTATGAGGTTTAGAGGATGAGCCAAGATGATCAGAATAGCGATCAGATTTCCTCGAGATTTCCGACAAGACGCCATCGAATTCGCCCTCGAGAGCGCCGAGTTTGCGTTTATGATTTTTACTAGCGGCGGAAGTTTCGATACCGAGGGCGACGGCAGCCTCGTCGTTCCTGCGTCTCTTGGCGTCTTTCTTCGTGCTAAACAGTCGGGTCATGTTAGCTTCCTCGTATTCGTTCATCCGGGCCAACGCTTTGGCCCGGTTGGAGGACTTGGCGGCCGTGTTCGAAAGACCGGTCGTCGACTCCGGTAGCGGCGCCATCGTCGCTAATGATACATGCTCCCGTAGGGCTACCGGCGCGGGCGCAATCCGCTTCGTCTTCGTGGGAGCTTCCGGATACGCTACCGGCGCTACTCGTGGTGGGCGGTACACTTCCTTCGATCTTCGATCTTCTTTCTGTTGTTCATACGCCCCTGACGTACTCTCCTCCTGAGCTCCTTCCCGATCCTGTTGTGTATCAGTTGGTGCTTCGAGTGCGGCCGGATTAGGCTTGAACGATAACGGATCTTGTAGAGGACAAAAAAAGAGGTTGTGTTCGTTCTATCGTCAGCTTCACAAGTAAATAATTCGGAGACGAGAATTCAAGAGAGGATGTGGCTCGACTTACCATTCATGACGTGGTCGATCTCAGCAGCAGTATTCGAGAAAGAATGTTGGTCGAGTTCGAGGACGGTCTTGAGCAACTTATCGATCTGGTATTTCAAGCGAGCTTCGAGGGGTCTGAGGCGTTCGAAGACGAGACGCAACCAGACCAATTGCTGGACGATCGAGCTCGACCATTCTCCGAGTTCCTTTTTCTCGAATGCGAGGGTCGAGGGATGGCTGGTTTGCGAGAGTCGGATGATCAAGAGGTTGGTGAGGTTGTGCAGATAGCTCGTCAAGAGATGGTTCTTCAGCTCCAGTAACGATATCCCTCCTCCCGTAGATCTCGACCCCCCGTCGACTACTAGCTCGCTCGTTTGGCTGCTCAGAAGCTCCGCCAGTTGGCTGCTCAGTTGGCTCGACGCTTTGCTGATCTGTCCAAGTGGGTCGAGTGACGACGAGACTGCTTTTTCGGATTCCATCTTTGTTGTTCTCTGAGTTCGTTGGGCCAAGCTTCAATCGCAGCACAATGTGTTGGTGATGGTGGCCATCGTTTGAAAAATTGGCATGACCTCCATCTCCAATAATGAATATTCAATTTCCAATCGTCGCCCCGCATGCATGTATGCAAAATCAAGAGCTATCGAGCAAATCAAGGCATATCGTGCCCTCACCTCTTCTCAACTACCCCTGTTGGGGTGTTCCAAATTTTTAGGAATGCAAATTGCAATTTTTTTTTCTTCAAAGTGTCCACCTTTTTCCATCTTTTTTTTGCATACATATATTGAGCATCTTGTTGTTTCGAATGTGAAATTCTTTGAATGTTGTGTGGAATTTATACATCAAAATTGAGGTTTTTATGCATATACGGCTCACTGGTACCCGCATTTTCCTCCTGTTTTTCGACCTTTTTACTTGATAAAATAATGTATTTAAAAGATATGAATGAGTGATGCATACTATGTAAGTACATCTTACATGCCCATAAGGCCATAGTATGGCCTTTCTTGGTGTGTGTTCCAAAATTTTGTGTTTGAAAATTTCAAACTTTTTGTTCTCCAGTCATTCTGGATGAGGCATCTGGAACCAAATGAATTCAGTTCACTTTCAAGTCTTGAAATTATCATGCAGTGGAACTCATAAGTGGGACATCCATCTATAGAACCAATGGACCCTTCATGGACTACATCTAATCAATATTTAACCCTTTAGCCCATAAAAATGCTGCTATTTCTTTCCTCTTTCACAATTTCAGAAATATAGGTGAAGCTGGAGTGACAAATCAAAAGTGCAACTCAGTCTCAATGCTATCAAGGGTGGTAAGTTTGAGTTGATTATATATGACACATTTCAGGTATGTGATTTATTGATTCAAGGTTCACTGTAGCTCAGCTATTGATTGGCACTGACTATGGCTGAAAACATTATAATTATAATCAATCATGCAAGTTTGACCAGATCCCTTGAGACCATTGGCACCCTGCATCAGCAGTGTCTTTTTGCTCTCCTTGCCTGTCCCCCTGCACCTATCTAAAACTGATCCAATCTTTATTCTTGGAATGTGATTGACAAGTCAATAATGGATGACTTCCTGTCATTATCTGAAGGTCTCCCAGAATCAATTTAGATCCTCAAAAGCTAGATTTCCCAGCAAACTTCTAGAGCTTTTGGATCTAAATCAACATCTGCAAGGGTCCCAGATCTGACAGGAAGTCCTCCAATTGTGATTTCAGATACTATTTACAAGGCAAAAACACAACAGAAGCAAAAAGTTGAATTATGGAAAATTTGGTTAATTATCACCACTTCTTTTTGAAATCAATCATAAAAAGCTTGATCACTCAAATAGTGGGGTTCATGATTGAAATTCATAATTCTGTAATTTCAATTTTAAGGCCTTTATGAACAACATTTTAAAATCTATATCATTTGGGTGGATTTTGGGGTTTGTGATCAATCTGCACAACTTTTTGAGTTTTGAAAAAACAGTTGATAAACAGCTTCACATGGGCTGTGAAATTTGATAAACTTCAATCATTAACCCCACTGATGGATGTATGATGGAAATGCTTGGTCCCATATATTTGATTTGATTTTCTCAGGAATCATTGAACTGCAATTCAAATTCAACAAAATTTGTGAGGAATAGTCACAATATGCTGTGTAAAGTCCAGAGGTATATTATATGAAACCTCTGTGTTGAATCGATAAAACATCTCCAAAGATCTGGGCATTTATTCAATAGCATAAAATTTTGATATGGGTGGGAGATCAAGTTAATTTCTTGTGACACAATAGAAAATTTACCAAAATGGCAATTATTTGAGAAAAAATGGTAAACTAATCATGCCACACAAGGTGTTTGTTCATGATACCCTCTGAGACTACACTTTTCTGGATAAATGCTGTCTTTTGGGTCAATTTTGAATGGAAGGATGGTGCACTGCATTAGCTGGTAAACTTGCAGTGTGCACCCACTTGGACATCCTATCAGGGGTGGTTAAGCTTGAGCTTGGGAAAGATCTTTGCAAGTGTTGCTGGTGTTTAAATATCACTATGTGGGCTCCCAGAAATACCAGCTTGGTAGCCAAGTGGTATTCTCTGGAATTTGTTATCAGTGGATTTGAACAAGGCACTCGTGTTCAATCCCCATCATTGGCAACCTTTCATAAACTTGTTTCAAGCAAAAATAAAGAAAAATTCACAATCTCATACCTGTTTTGGCAATTACAGCCCTACTCAACATGCAACTGGGACATGCTATCCAATGTCAACACCCTCTAGGCAGTCGGGGATGGGGCCCTCTGACCGAAATTGAATGTAACCAAGTAAACCACTGTGATTGGGGAGAACATAATAGATGTAAAATCCCGCGCACAGGCCGTTATCAAATCTGCATCATATGTGGTGCAACTTTCCAACATCATTATTTTGTGATTGCCCACTGAAATTCTGATCATAGAATCAGTGAGGATTGTCATGGCACTGTTGCCACTGGCCATGAATTGTGAATGATGAATTGATGGAAAAGAAGATTCACCCATAACCTCCAGTCAAGACAAGAGTATTGCCCTCCTCAAAAACTGGCACCCCAAAAACATTTTTTTATGTATCCAGTACTTTGGTCAAGAAGACACTGAAATCTGTAGAATTCTACCCAAAAAATCTACAATGAATCCTGAAACAAAACAAAAAATTGAACAAAGAAGGAAAGTCAAAATCTTAAATGTCAAAAAAGGAAACTAAATAGCAATTGTATGGAGGCACTGACGTGCCACAATGGCCAAAAAAACCGAAAATTGTCACAATGAAAATTCAATAAAAAAATAAGGAATCCAACCGCCAAGTTGGCCAATCCAACGGCCAAGTTGGACCTACACATGGGGCTACAGGCAAATACAGAACAGCAGCCACAAATCTGGGAAGTTCCAGGGTCCTCCACCCCATTCTAACAGATTCTGCCACAGAACTTGGTGAATAACATTCGCTACATACTTGAAAGTCATCCAGACGAACCAACCTCACACTAAACCAAACCACTGCCCGCCCACACCAAACACCTCTCCCACCATGGCCAACAGCTCACTCAGCAACCAGACAATGCGTGCATCAATGCGTGCATTTGGTGATGATTTCCAACCAGAAGTCACACACCTAGTCAAAACTGGATGGACGGATAGTCAAATACGAGAACATATCAAAGCGACATACGATATATCAGTCTCCCAACGAACATTAACTTGCAGGAAGGAAGACTGGGGGCTAATTCTTCAAGCCGCTGAATACGCAGCCCAGCTTGAAGATTGTCAGCCTCTATGCTACTAACCTGTAAGGGTTGTGCTCTGAGTGTTAACAAGTATGGTAAGTGAGAAGGTTTATTTGTGGTTAAATCCCTCAACCTGTAAAAGAAACAGGGAGGAGTCAGTGAGGAATGGTACTTCTACTGCTGACTCATCCAATTATTCAATTGGGCATCCGGATCAATCCTCTTGTATGGATTAATAGGCTTCCAAGGTGAGGACTTCTTCAACTCACTTGGGATTAGTCTTTTAACAACAATCTATATTAATAAGTGTATCAACACTTAAGGACCAGAATTGTTTAACCTGGGGGATAATTCTTTATGCAATAGAGATAAGTAGAAATGCCTTGAATCTGAGCAAAGTAAATCTATTTAGGTCTAAGGTAGCTGGATTGTAATGTTATTGGTGGGTTGAATCACTAATAATCACTGTACAAGTGTTGGTTTGATGCTACTAGAATTTCCTGGGGGGAAAAGGTAGGAATCTGAGCTCCTTAAATATTCTACAGGGGGCTCAGGGGAAGAGGAGAGGCCCTCAGGGCACTAGGGAGCTTCTTAGCAGCTCTACAATTTCGTGTAAGGCTGGGAGCTGCAGCTGTGCAGTGCTATGCATGGGTGGAAGGTCCTAGGACATGAGATCATACATGCATAATTGAGTTTTGTGGCCTATTTCTCACGTAATTGAAAAGGCTACAGTTACTGTGCAGGGGCTGTGCAATTGTAGAGTTGGTTGCATACGTGTAAATCTGCTTATGCAAGCTTGTGATCATGAGAAATGCATGTCCTTCATGCATAATTCAGTCTTGCATGTAGAATTTGGGCTCCTTTCCCGTGTAGGCTGCTTTGAATTATGCAAGCTTTGAATTAGAGCACAAAAGGGTCCTGATGACGCCATCCAAGAGGGTTATGATGCAATCTGATGCCCTGATGATGTGATCAAGGATGGGTAAGCTTCAGATAAATGTGTATAGCTTATTCCTCATCCATTTCACGCTTCTACTAGCTGATTCTTTATACATATGTAATTATTTATGGCTTATAAAATATGTACATAATGTATAAGAATAAACAATGTTTTAATACTTTATTCTAATGATATTTCTGTGAAATCCTAGTGATATTATATGTACACTACTCAAGGGGATTTCACAGTTAATTATAGAATTATTAAATATAAATTATGAATTAAGATTAAATGTAAATACATATTTATTTATTTATTATTCTAACAGCAATGTATAGTATTTTCCAGTATTCAATTAGTTATTATTCTTGCAGTTACTAGGTACATTTCACGTACTGTGAAAGGTGCTCTGTGGCTGACAAAGATCACATCACCACTTACTTTGAACGGGGATTGACTTACTCCCAAATTCACCATGCTTTATCCACCAGCCACGGCTACGTCCAATCAAAAAGAACCCTAGAACGCAAAATCAAATCGATGAACCTCACCCGCAGAACTGACGATTTGGACAACAAAAAGATCGACATTGACACAGTTGTGTCATGCATTGAAGAGATACACCAAACTCCTGAATGCCGCAATGCTGGATACCGGAAGATGAGACAGCTGCTCCAAACTAAATATGGCCTGCACATCCACACGTAAGTTGATCATTTGAAATTTGCCACTCATGACAGGTAATTAATGTTATTTAAACTTTTCATACATTGAAGTCTCACAGTGGCCATGATAAACCGCACCCTTGACCCAGACGGTGTTCAAAATCGAGCGAAACGGGTATTGAAGCGCCGTGTCTTCAAAACCCCCGGACCCAACTTCATATGGTCGGCCGACGGACACGACAAGCTCAAGAAGTTTGGGATAACCATCTATGGGTTCATCAATGCCTGGAGCCGGAAAATCTTGGGTCTTTATGTGCATGTGACCAACAACGACCCTCGTCACATTGGATACTACTACCTCCAGCTGGTCAAACGAGAAGGTGGCATCCCACGTCGTACCACAACCGACAAGGGCACAGAAACCATCCAAATGGCCAGCCACCAAATCAACCTCACCGAGGAATTCAACCTCGAGTGCGCAGACCCCAGCCAGTCCCACCTCTTTACCAAGAGCACTCACAATCAGAAGATCGAGTGTCTCTGGTCCCAGATGATGAAGCAATACAACTGCGAGTTAATCAACCACCTTTTCGAAGCGATCGAGAACGATTGCTATGACCCTAATGACCCGGTTGAGTAGTAAGTTTCCCTGGGTCCTTCTGATTTTCCCGACTATTTCTCATAATTCTGATTGACATATTCTGCACATGGCCAGTCTCCTCTTCATATACTTGTGGGTTCCGCTGCTTCAGAAAGGGCTGGATGACTGGACAACCAACTATAACAACTACAAACGTTGATGGGACCCCAAAAGCATGCTTCCCACCCGGTGTAGTGCTGAATGGTGCTACAAATATCCAACAGAAGTCGGTGGGGAGCAAGGTCTTATTCCGGTGCCGCCAGAAGCTGTCAAAGCCCTTGAACAGGAATTTTATCCGGAGGCTGCCGAGATGATGGATACGTCACCCAAATGGTTCTCAGAATCTATCAAGGAGCTGGAGATTGGGATGGATCTGACAATTCCTGCGGTTGACATCCACAACGTTTGGGATACATTCTCACTACTTCTCCAATCCATCCGAGACTATGATTCCGCCTGGTTGGCTGACCCCTCAAATGAGCCAACAGAAACCTTTGCCTTCCGCGCTTCCTGAGATCTTATCCATTGTTTCTTATTGTTTTCCACCTGAAATGCAGCCTGGTTGTATCTATTAACACGTTATTGGATAAATAATGGGGCTTGGAAAAACGACTCCTAAAAATTAGTCGACGACTCCCGTTTTGGTCGGGAGGTCGTCGGACGGGAGTCGTTCTTCCAATTCCCCCCCAAAAAAGGGGAGTCATCGTCCTAATTTCAATGGTGATTTTTTAATTTTTTTTATTAAAAAAATGGGAGTCGCCCGCCTAAAGGGCGGGAGTCGTTGTACCAATTTAGCCAAATATTTTTTATTTTTTTTCATTAAAAAAGTTGGGAGTCGTCCGCCTAAAGGGCGGGAGTCGGCCTCCCAAATTTGATCTTTAATTTTTTTGATATTTTTTTTTTTTCCTCGGGAGTCGTCAGGCCAATTACCCGAGACGGAAAGGGAGTCGATGGCCCAATCGTCCACTGGACTTTTTTTTCGTCTCGCAGGAGTCGTTGGAAAATACCTAGGAGTCGGCTGGGGAGAAGAAACCTTGTTTCTTCTCCCACGCAGGAGTTGCCAAGATTCAAAATCCAATGACCCACTACTAGTTTTTTTTCTGCCTGTGTCTTTTTTTAGTTTTTATTTTTTTTCCTCTGTCCTTTTTTACCCTGTGTTTTTTTCTTATATTTCTCATCAATTGAATTCTTTTATCCCTGTTTTTTTCTTACATTTCTCATTGTTTTTTTGTTTACATTTCTCAACATCTCATCAATTTATTTCAATTATTTCTTGAATTTGTTTTTCTCAATGAATCTAATTTTTAATCATTGATAAAGTGCCTTTGGGGCGGGGCCCCAGTGGCTGAACTTTTTTTTGAGTTGTTAGGGTTGCTAGAGGTCAACAACTCCTGTTTTGAGTTGGACAACTCCCGTTTTTTTAATGCAGAAAAAAGGTTAAAATATTGGTTATAATTGGTGCGCTGACTCCCGCCCTTTAGGCGGACGACTCCCAATTTTTTTAATGGAAAAAAAATTAAAAAATATTTGGCTAAATTGGTACGACGACTCCCGCCCTTTAGGCGGGCGACTCCCATTTTTTTAATAAAAAAAATTAAAAAATCACCATTGAAATTAGGACGACGACTCCCCTTTTTTTGGGGGGAATTGGAAGAACGACTCCCGTCCGACGACCTCCCGACCAAAACGGGAGTCGTCGACTAATTTTTAGGAGTCGTTTTTCCAAGCCCCTAAATAATATCTTAGATTTTTACTCAGGTCAATTACCATGTGAGTGATAGTTCATGATGTTTGCCTCCTTGTGTTACAGCGGGAGTTTCACTGTGGCATCATTTGAAATGAAGGCTTCATCTGACCAAGAACATGTCTTGGGTGATTAAGCCGTGATCACCCAAGGATATTGTGCCCTGGGCGATGAAGGCTTCATCGACCAAGGAACATGCTTTGGGTGATGAAGCCCTCATCACCATCTTGCCTTGGGTGATGAAGCCTTCATCTCCCAGGGCACGATATCCTTGGGTGATCACGGCTTCATCACCCAAGGATAATTTGCCACCCCACCTTATATGAGATCCTTGGTCGATGAAGCCTTCATCGCCCAAGAAAAGCTTGTGTATGTATGGGAGATGAACAGTGTGGTTTAAGTTCATGCATCTCTGCAAGGTGAGGTCATCATCCCTTAAGTTCATGCATCTCTGCAAGGTGAGGTCATCATCCCCCAATCTCACTTACACCGGGATAGTTTGTCATGTTCCCTTAGCTACAATCTTGACAAGAACCAACTAAAACGAACACATTTCAAATATCGACTCACAAACAACATATGGGATCTCAAATGGCAGAACTTCTAGGTAAGAAAAGAGTCCCATTATTCACTCAAGGGGCCTGAATGATTGAAACATTTGCCTCTTTCAGAAGGAAAGATTGTCGAGCGCATGACCGAGCTCATGAAATTGGACGGGATGGCTGGTAGCCACATCCGGGTCCTGTCAAACTTGCGGTCTTTGTTGAGATATCTGTGACATCCCATTTCATTTTGTGTGCTTCTTCCTGATTTCATTTCTACCATGTCACATCCTGTGACATTCACTTGTTTATATTTAGTTCTTATACTGGATTCAGTTGTGTTTGGGATGCTTTCTTTTCCTCATCCTTTCCAACACTTTGTCTCCAGTCACCTGAGTTCATCTCAACAGGTTATGAGCACCAGTTTTGCTTAACGGTCTCGAACTCTTCTTGCTATCTCATCTCGTTTCGTTTCGACGTTCACGCACAAACTCATTTGACTCGACTCCTTCGGATACAAGGGATCCTTTGTCATGGCTTCTACTGAATCGGCCAACGATTCCAAACTCAATGACTCTGATTCCACCAACCTTAAGGTTTCCGGAATCGTTCAACTTAAGCCGCAGGGTGCGGACTCCAATTACCTCGATGGGAGTTTCGTGGTTCTGCTCCACCTCAAGTCCCTGAATCTCTCCTACGTGCTCGACCCCGTCGATGAGAAGGAACGCTCGGCCGCCTACGTTAAGGACAGCGTCGCGGTCTCATCCTTCATGGCGCGGACGATTCATCCGACCAACCTTTGCTTCATCCGATCCCATGGCACGGACGCCGCTGCCATGTGGTCCTCCCTGTCTCAAGCCCACCAGGATTTCTCCTCCGGTGGGCGTATGCACTGGCTACGACGATTGGTCGGTGACGATATCGATGCCCATATCGAGGCCATGGCCGTCTGTGCCGAGCGCCTCAACTCTCTGGTAACTCCCGAAAAACCTCTCACGGCGGACGACATCCATTCGACCGCGTTGCTAACCTCCCTCACCGACGACTGGCTGCCGTGCGTGTCGGCCCTAATGAATGAAGATTCTGTGTCGTCGGCAAGGATTGTTTCGGCTCTCAAAGCCGAATCGCTTCGTCGTAAGCCCCGCCGCGAAGACGACATCTCCGTCTCTGCCTCTAAGGCACGTGCCGACCCCTCCAAAGGAAAGCCCCGCTTCAACGAGGCGCTCCACTGTAGCTTCTGCAACCGACCCGGTCACAACCTTTCTATCTGCGACAACGCAGCGCGGGTCCTTTCTGAGCACAAGGCCAACCGATCCTCCAACAGCGGAGGAGGCTCCCACCGCCCCGATGTCTCTCGAGACAATCAACGTTGTACAGGCAACAACCATCCGCCCGCTCGCACCAACCCGTCTGCTAGACCCTCCGCGACCGCTGGTCAGGTCACCGTCGTCAAACTTGGTCATGACTCCTATGACGACGACTCGGACTTCTCCGTCCCTGAGCGCACTGGCAACGCCGTTGTCGTGTCTTCCCTCACTGAGTCTGCCACTGCCAGCATCGCCGATATCAACATCGACTCGGGGTGTTCCATCTCGATGACCCCCGATGCTTCCACCGTGGACCGTCTCAAGCCAGACTCTACCTCAGTCTGACTAGCCGACAGCTCTGAAGTCTTTGCGACGCTCAGAGGCTCTCAGTCTCTCCCTCTCTCAATAGATAAGCAAGTCCCCACGCTCGTTGTTCCAGGTCTTCACGAACCCCTGCTTTCCGTTGCGGGCTTATGTGACAAGGATCTGGTGGCTGTCTTCTCCAGCAATTCATGCGACATCTACAAAGCGGATTCCTTTCAGGTCACCGGTCATCCTGTTGGTCGTGGCTATTGTAAGGGCAACCTTTTCTATCTCCCCTCCAATGAGGTAAGATCTTCATCCGCCATCTCAGTTCCATCATCCTCTCACGGCTGCTCATTACTGGATTATCACATCCGGCTCTCCCACATAGGTCTGAAACCCCTCAAACGACTCCTTCGTCAAGCTGGTATCACCCCAACAACGTCCAACGATATTGAAGTTACTCAATGTCCCATTTGTGTGCAGTCAAAAATGCACCGTCTCTCTTTCACTTCTTGTCTCCCTTATTGCTCTCAATTTCCCGGTCATCTTATCCACTCTGATGTTGGTTCCTTTGAGGTCGCCTCCCGCGAGCACTACAAATATTTTGTTACTTTTATTGATGACTGTTCCAAGTTTGTTTCAATCTTTCCAATGAAATTCAAATCAGAGGTTTTCTCGTGCTTCAAAATTTTTAAGGCCTTTTTCGAAAAGGATGGAAAATTCCCAATACTCGCCCTCCGTTCTGACAATGGTGGCGAATATGTCTCTAAAGCTTTTGAATCTTTCCTCCTCACTTCTGGTATCCGCCACGAACCTGGGCCTCCTCATTCCCCTCCCTCAACGGTGTTGCTGAGCGCACTAATCGCACTGTGGCAAACCTCATTTGATGCTCCTTACTCACTGCAAAACTTCCAAAAAGTTTTTGGGCAGACGCTATGCGCCATATCTTTCCTTTCAATTCCGTCCCCTGCTATACTCCTTTAGGCTTCCACTCTCCAAACTCTCTGCTGTGTAGCCCCCTTGTCAATTTCTCCTCACTTCATCCTTTTGGCTGTTTGGTTTGGCATAAAGTCCCGGATGCAACACAGAAGAAACTTGATCCCAGGGCCCACACTGCTATTTTTCTATCTTATCTTGAAGATGGAAATGGATACCGAGTCTGGGATCTCCAAACAAAGAAGGCAATCAAGACTCGAGATACAATCTTCAACAATAGCACATTCCCCTATGACCACCAAATCACAGGCCCTGCGCCAACTATCTACGTTGACCTTCCTTGGCCGGTCTCTGCTTCCATTCTTCCTTCCCCTGCCACTTTACCACCGGCCACTGATACTCCTCCGGCTGTTCCGGTCCCTCGGCCGCCTCCACCTCCCCCACCCCTGTCTCGGATCCCTCTGCCTCATTCTTTCAGAAAACTTCAAGATCCGGCACCTGCCATCCCCACCTCTCCAATCACCAGTGATTCTGACGATGGTGGTAAGTCCTCTGGTCTTCCTTCACCAATCCCGCTTCCGTCTCCCTTTCTTCGTCCCCCAGCATCTTCCCTCATGGACACCGTCCCTCCTCTCACTCTGCCCGCCTCAACATCTCCCGCGCCTCTTCCGCCTGCTGATCCTGCTCAACCTCAGGCTGTGCCATCACCCGTGTCACTACCTCTTCCCGTCTCGCGTCCTCCTACTCCCCCGGTCAGGCAATCTGGACGTGCTCGGAAGCTCCTGAACGCTACGTAACTGGGCTAA